GTCCTAGATCAAAGTACCCGCTCTTACAACTCGTTTTCAAAGAAAAAACTACACTCTCTCTAGAACTACTGGTTCAAGACCAAACTACCCGCTCTTTACAACTCCTGGTCGCAGACCAAACTAACCGCTCTCTACAACTACTGGTCCAAGACCAAACCACCCGCTCTTTATAACTCCTGGCCCAAGACCAAATTACCCGCTCTTTAGAACTACTGGTAGAAGATCAAACCACCCGCTCCTTACAACTTCTAGACCAAGAGCAAACTACCCGCCAGTACAACTCTTGGTGCAAGACCAAACTAACCACTTTTTACCATTCCTGGTCCAAGACCAAACTACCGGCTCTTCACAACTTCTAGACCAAGACCAGACTACCCGCCATTACAACTCCTGGTGCAAGACCAAACTACCGGCTCTTTACAACTCCTGGTTTAAGACCAAACTACCCGCTCTTTACAACTTCTAGACCAAGAGCAAACTACCCGCCAGTACAACTCCTGGTGCAAGACCAAACTAACCACTTTTTACCATTCCTGGTCCAAGACCAAACTACCGGCTCTTCACAACTTCTAGACCAAGACCAGACTACCCGCCATTACAACTCCTGGTGCAAGACCAAACTAGCCACTTTTTACCATTCCTGGTTCAAGACCAAACTACCGGCTCTTTACAACTCCTGGTTCAAGACCAAACTACCCGCTCCTTACAACTCCTAGACCAAGACCAAACTACCCGCCATTACAACTCCTAGTCTTGTTGTAAGTTTCTTCCACATTATAATGTACAGAGCCGGTAGGTTTTGCCTTTCTAGATTTCGACTTTTAAAAGAACAGATCTCGGTTTCAAATTTCACAGTTTCGTAGATTTTTTGACTTGGTTGACGTATACATTGTTTTGTGACCTTACGACTTAGGTTACAATAGAATCTAAGGTTTTTTTTTCAGGGTGGGTTATCAAGAAATTTTTGATCCCTCCTTTTTTGGTCAAGTTTTTGGCTCTTTTCCTTCCCCCAACCCCCCCCCCCCCCACCTCACACGAGCTCCAATATATTAGTGTATCGAGTGGTTTTACGAGGTTGAGTATCAAGACCAAATATGTTTGTCGTGGCCTTATTAGTCTGTATGTAAACTTTCACAACAATCGGACAATGTGGTCAACAATTTTACATGTAAAAACTGGCAGGTGGGGTGGGGGCGGGAAAGGAAAAAGAGCCAAATTTTTTTTATCTTTACTTTATTTAAGCATACGCATGTTATTATAGTAGACAAATGCAAATTAGTTGCAAAATTTTTACAACGAGGGATAGCAAATGATCTGAACTACCCACCCTGAAAGTCTGAGTTTTTAATTTGTAGAACATACCAGTTTTTTTTGGGTCTGAAAATGCCAGTTTTCATCAACCGCAAAAAAATTTTCAATTCACGTGAAATTGGAATAAACAGCTATATTTAACAAAATTCTCCTAATGAGTATTTCAATTTTTTTGCTGAAAAAGTTTCACGTCGCGTGAACAACTTTTGAGAGCAAGAACGTTGCAAAACATAGCCAAGACGGTGGAAACTGGCATTTTCAGATCCAAAAAAACTGGTAAGTGCACAATATAAAACTTCAGAGCATTTGCTGTCGTTCGATGTTATATTTTCATACTTTTTTTAAGACTCTAAATAAAATGGTCCATAAATTTAGGCTTTTTGGGAGTAAGAGGCTGAGTTTGCGTTTATTTTTGTCCGCTAGTGTGTTATGGTTAATTCGTAATTGTTGACGACAAGGTATGAACATCAAATGGCTTTGAAACAGTTTTTTTTATATACCATGCAAAACGTCGTTCAAATACAAAAAAATGTTGTAACCCCTTGTCAAAATTGAAGTTCAAATGCCAAAAAAGTTTGGAAAAAGAATTTTACTTTCAAATTATTCTCCATCGTGTCTCTATTGAGTAGTAACTGTATGTAGCACCAGGAGCACTGCTCATAACCTCCAGCAAGCACTTCTTTTTGCATCATCACCAAGGTCATCGTTGCAATAAACACAACAGACAATTTGTTCAAACCAAACATTGCAGAAGTTAGGGGTTAGAACAAGGTAAAATTAGGACTTAATAAATACGAAGAACAGTAAGAAGATTTTGTAAAAATATTTTTGAAGTATTGTGTTTTTTGTTGAAATTGATTATTAGATTTAAAGTGTGAGCAGAAATCAAAAGTCAAATTGACGAGAATGACTCATAGAAAATTTTTTTGGCACTTTCGGGCCACATTTAAGCGGGAAAATGAAGAACAAACATTCACATTAATTGCCATATTTTCACAACGACGATATCGCGACGACGACACAGTTGTGCTGGATTGATAAAAAGTCTACAGCTGTTTTGGAAATACCCGTTGGGAACTCAGAGTAGTCAATAGACAACAAAAGAGACAATTGGAGCAAAGCGCTTACGTGTTATTTGTTTACGTGTTACTACGGCTAAATGCCTGTTGTTACGCTTTAAAGTATCAAGAACAAATCTGTTCACAGTTGTTGATTTGTTAACCACGCCAAAATTCGTTGAATCATGACTTCGTTAAAAAAGCTTTTCAAACTTGAATTCGAAAGGAGGGAACTGGAAAAGAGCCCTGTTTTGAATCCGTTGCTTACTCTTCGTTGTATTATAATGCCTGGTGCCCGGGTTGACCGAATATGCTAATCATACAATTTTCAAATTTGGTAAAATTGCCACTCATATACTTTTCATGCAACTCTATAGGAATAGAAAATTGCGTGAATGGTCTATGACGCTAGTTTTCAATCTATGGAAACTGTATGACTAGCAATTTTTCATAAAAAAAAAGATTTTTTTTTTAAATTTTTTTTCTCAACGAACACAAATGACAAGAGCCATCGTTTACTCAAAAAAAGAGTTACCAAAAGGTTTGAACCTGTTTCATAGGTGACATTTTACAATGCCTGAAAATTGACCTTTTTATAATAGTTTCTTACACAAATCATATACTGAAAAGCAACAAACTTTGAAATTTTGCAAAAATGATAATTTTTTGAAATTTGAATTTTTATATTATCAGACATTGATCAAGGCGTCCTACAAAAGGAATAGCATTAAGGGGAGAAAATGTGGTTTTTGGGAATTTTAAGCAATTTTCTTCTTTTGTTCTTCTTTTGCTTATTAATTTTCTATGATCGTTCCGACAAAAAATTTTAACACGTTTAAGGACTTGTCTCTGGAATCCAGGAATAAACAGACACAAAAAAGTGCACCTATTCATCTTTTTTCTTATCTAACCATAGATTATACAGCAAACAGACTAAGCACGTTCAAAAATGTGAGACTATTGCTTGGGTAAAAAGAGTGTTCAGCGAACACTTTGATCAACAAAAAATGGAACAAAATCAAGCCTAGTAGTAGACATTGAAAATACGATATCGCTCTATCCAACGCCAAGGTACAACCGCAAGAAGAAAAAAAATGCTAACTTCGGACAGAAGCCGTCGTCAGTATTTGACTTGCCCAGCTTTACTTTTGAAACAATTCCTGAAACAACGATGGAGACCTACCCCGACTGTTGTCTTCGAAAGCGTGTAGCCAACGACGCCGTATACCGATTTTGTTTTTGATTTTCTTTTGTTTTTGATTTTGTCTCTTAACGCGGAGTATTTGCGGGAGCTCGACTGACATTCAAATCATAGAGCTCAAAGCGTGGTTAATGTTCAAATCTGTTTAATGCAAAAAACTGCTCTTGCGATCCGTCACCGCTCACAGTTCTTCTAATGAGTCACAAAAAATAAGTAAACTTTTTTTTGGTGTTAAAGGTTTAAGCATATAAACTAATGGAAAAATCACCACGAAAATGGTTCAACAAACTTTAATCAGTTTTGCTTCAATTACCGGTTTAGATTTATGGCAATTAGATATATTGGAAAACTTGGTAATTTGACATATAATTTTTTCTACTTTTTGTTTAAGTTAATATCTTGTTCTCATTTTTTACTTATTCTTATTTTTTTACTTATTATTCAATGATACAATTAATTGCTAATTTTGAGAATCAACAATGGTTGTTCTTACTTATATGTCAAGAGAGGATAGTAACTCAGTCCGAATGTATGTGACTCGACCAACTGTATTCGGCAAATTGGTAAAAGAGCTGATAGTAAAATTTTTCAAAAGTGTGTCTAACTATATTCCAACTATATTCTACAAATTGGAAAGAAAACCTAAACTGGTTTAATCCGATTGTGTATGTTCAGTAAAGATTCACAATAGTAACTGACTTCGAATGTGTTTTTAGGGGCAGGGCGACAAATCGTAACAGCCCGGGTTGACGTCCACAGAAGAAAAATGCTTATCATATGCAGTTTCATACATGAAGTCCATGGAAAAAATGCTTATCATAGAAAACCCAAAAAATTTCACCCAAAAAATCCAAAAATCACACGAAAGTGTTTTATTTTGTAAACACGATTATTATCTTTTGTTTCATTTGCTAAGATAAAAATAAGTTTGTAGAAAAACAGATTTTTTAAACCATTTTAATTTTCGAACTAAAAATTATCTAGCCATATTCAAAAAGTTACTTTTTTGTATATAATTCCATGTGAAATAGTTAATTTAACTTTCATGGCCAAAATCACCAAATGCAGTTTATGTGCGTGGTAACCGCCAGTTGCACTCTTGATTTTCTTATGACAAAAAATTCTTGGTTAGTTTTTCGGTTGAAACACAAAACTTCGAAACAAATGATTTTTTTGTTTTTTCATTTAAAGAAAAAAATACTTCTCACAATTTCATAGTACGAAAAAAATGCTTATCATACAATTTCAATTGATGGAAAATTTGCTTATTTGCTATTTTCATACACTTACCCTGGCTCTATGAAATTGTATGAAAGAGTATGATAAGTATATTTTTTCAAACATAAAAATTGTATGATAATCATTTTTTGTCAACCCCGGAGTCGACAATCGTAATAAGGGACAATTCGTCACAAGCGACAATTCGTACAATGCATTGGTAAGTAGAATACGCTTGCTCCGCGTCGCTCCGCTTCGCTTACATCCGGCACGAGAGGAATATTGCGCGTGAATCAGTGTTCCCCGCTTAAATTACTGTTACGAATTGTCACTTGTTACGAATTGTCGCTTGTTACGAATTGTCGCCTCACGTTTTTCTAGGCCAAATGTGTTTAGCAAGTCGATTAAAAAGCCGATAGTAAATCAGTCCGAATGTGCATTTAGGGCGACAGTGTACAGTGAGTTGAAGAGTCTGTACGTGCAACATGCGTGCAGGGAGTACCTGGTGAATCTTCCCCTTTTGGAACTGTACTGTGGCTATGGGGATGCAAAAGTGCCCCAGTTGAACACTGTCAACAATTTCCTAATGGGTGAGGAAAATGGGCTCTTTACCAAACCCCAATCCCCTTCTACGTTCCATTTTGAGGATTGGAAAAAAATATTGAACGTTTTCATAATGCAATGAAATTTTGCACTGTGTTTTCCATACTTGTTTGCTCCTCAAACTTTAAATTGTAATATTACGCATTTCGCTATAAGAATATCATTACGCAGCCAAACTGTGCAATTTGTGAACTGAAAGCGGATTCGGCGACGGGAAACAGTTCAAAAACAGAATTTTTCCAGAATCTGCAGCATTGCTGTTTCACTTTGGTCTTCTTTGCTGTTTTGGGTTTCACGGACAAATAGTTGAATCATTGTATTGTTCAATTTGCTCCAAAAACAGACAATTCGCAACAAAAATTCCGGAGCCCGGAACAGTTCGTGAAATCCATAAACATATAATAATAATTTTGTTTCTTAAACTTAAGCTGTCGACGAATCCGCAACTGTACGTGGAATCCGCAACTTGTAAGCGGAATCTGCAAATTGTAAACGGATTCCGCAAATTGCAAGCGGATTTCACAAACTGTAAGAGGAACCCGCTCTATTTTTAGGAATCCACATACATTTGCGGAAACCGGATTTCGCGCGTTGCGCAGAAATTTCGCGCGTTGCGCAGACTGCATTAAAACTAACAGGCCGACAAAAACTAGATTACGGTTTTTTGTACGCGGAGTCCACAGAAATTTCGTATGTGGAATCCAATTACATTTTGGAACATATTTAAAGACTTGTTTCTGGAACCCAGGAACAAACAGAAAAAGAGTTTGGTGCCTATCCACTGCACAGTTTGGGCTCATAATGATGTACACAATCATAAAAACAGAAAATTTGAAACGTGGGGGCTAAGGTGAAAAAAGCTGCTAGAGTAAACTGGTCTTAACACATTTGCCCTCTCTTATTTTGAATGACAAGGCGTTCACTCTGTGAGCGTCAGATCGTGTAATCAATCCCCTGCCATGGCAACGATAGTGTGCGAAGAGGAGCTCTCACTTGACCTCTAGCTTCAGGTCTACCACAGCCGGACCGTTTTCGGATGCAATATTCGTACCGTGAAAGTTCTAGACGCAAGAAAAAACGTTCTTGAGCTGCAAAAAAGAGCTTCGCTCAGCAAAAAAAAAAATTCTAGAATGTGGGGCAATGATAGAAACGTATTATGCGTAGACAAGCTGGACACTTTTTCATAGATCTTCTGCGAATCACAGAAACAACAACTATTATTATTATTCATTGGCCCTATAGAAATAGGGGGAGAAATGAGTGATTGGCAAAATCTGACTCTGTCTCTTCTGGGTAAAATAGATGAGCTCTTTTCCACTAGCCCATCATGTCAAATTTCTATTGTTTTGCAATTTAAATGCAAAATAAGAAAATTCCCCGATGTTACCATGAAATGAACTGAAGACATGAATCGATATGCAACTGTTTTTTCAGTTATTCTTTCAAGACTTAACATTTAAATTTTTTTCCCTAGTGAACAGTAGTGGATTTAGGAGCAGGGGCGTCTGAGGGTCCCCCTCAGTAATAATTTGAAAGGGTCCCCTCAGTAATAATTTGAAAGGGTCCCCCTCAGTAATAAATTGAGATAACCTTTTTTAGGCATAATTGAACCCAAATTCTTAGGCCTAATCGAACTTTTGGCGCCAATATATACCAAATTTGAGGCGCACGGGAAGCGCGCGTCAAAAACTTGATTGTTTTTCAAAAAATTACCTGTGGCGCAAACAATTTGGCTGAAATAAGGTCTTTTAGGGCTTTGGGAAAGCTCAGAAAATCATTTCGGTCGACCTAAGAAAAGTTTGACAAATTTTTCGATTTTTTTTTGAAAATCCGCCCCTCTCTTGAGAAACTTTTAGATCCACCCCTTGGTGTGAATATTACTTTTTTTCCTTCTCAAAAACAAGATGATATGTTATAGATCTCATCAACTGATTGACCACCCAAGAAATACCATATTATTTTGTTAATTTTTTTTGGTTGTAGAGAAAACTGGCTTCTCCCTCAGACCTGTTGCCGGGTATCTCTCTTCCAGAGATTTCCTCTCTGCCCTGGCATTCCGCGTGTTCTGCTGCACTCAATATATTAGACATGCCAGCGACCCATTCTACACTCCAGAACCGTGAGATTTTTGTTGATAAAAAAAGTTAACGAATTTGAGAATTTGATCTATTTAAATTTTTTGGTAGTTTTCGAAAACGATATATTATTTCCTAAGAGTTCATCTTGGTCCAGAAAAGGCGCAAAAGATAGTTCGTAGTTCAATTTTCATATAAAGTTAATCACGTATTGGGAAAAAATAGGTATAAAAGTACATTATTAATGACATAACCTTTTTGAATTCAATATACTTCAATTTTTCAATTTTAGAGACTGTTGTCACGAGCTGCTTGGTCACGTGCCCATGTTGGCAGACAGAACTTTCTGCGACTTCAGCCAGGAGATCGGACTGGCCAGTTTGGGGGCATCAGATCCAGATGTTGAGAAACTGTCTAAGGTACACTTTAAATTTTCGAAGGTTCTCTTCTCTAGTCAAACCTCTAATTATTATAAATCTATCGACTATTTATTTTATAACTTATGTTTTTGAGTGTTAAACAGGAGTCAATGTGTTTTTATTTAAAAAGTTTCCGAAGATCATGAGATCAAAAACCTTTAAAAGTTGAAACTTCGCAGAAATTGCTGCCTACGTTGGGTTTTTTTTTTGGCAGTCCACTTGAACTCAGAAAATGCATTTGGTAAATCTTAGAAAATCCGTATGTTTCTGAATAAAATTCGATTCACAAGTTTCAAAGTACTTAAAAGTTTTCATTTTGTTATACGATCTTTGATCACTCTCAATTTTTTCTCCACTATTTCTCTTTTTTTTCAATTTGGCAGTTTAACATTTTATTTAACTGTTTCTTTTTTACCATCGCCATAGTAAAAAATTACCATTCGTTAAAAAATTACCATCGCCATAGTAAAAAGTTAACAAACGGGGGTGGGGGGTTTGTGAGTGGTGGTGGGGGGTTTTGGAGTGGTGGTGGGGGTTCGAGACCTGGGAGTATGTGGGGGGGGGGGGGGGGGGGGGGGTTTGTAGATGAGGTGGCGGTGGTAGGGTATGTAGCGGGGGGACAAACTTTTTTAAAGTTTTTTAGGGATGGACATGTTTGTTCGGGTCTTAAATTTTCAGAACGTTGATTTTTTAACAACTTGGTGTCATTTTAATGAAACTGTGCAAAATTCTCATCCAAATTTTTCAAGAGTAAGTGGCCTAAAAAGTCGAAGATTTTGTCAAAATAATGAATTGTAATGGATTTTTAAATATTAAAAATAATCGATCATAATCCCCTAAAAAATCAATATTCATGGCTGGATGGATCATTAAAATCGATTATAGTTTTTTGCCGTTATAATCCATTATAATACATCAGTTCCCATGAAACTCCAGTGCGTGAAAGATCTTGAAAGGTATTCTGACACTTTTTGGGATGTTTTTATTGTTTATTTTTAGCTATACTTCTTCACCGTGGAATTTGGTCTGTGCCGACAAGATGGTCAGGTGAAGATCTACGGGGCAGGACTGCTATCTTCAGTCGGAGAACTCAAGGTCAGCTAGGTCCATAGCGTAACAACCGGTGATATAGTGCATTTCGAATCCCATCTCTTTTTAAAACAAAACACTAAGTAGGTCTACCCGATGATTACTTAAGTTTAAGTTTAAACTAGAGCTTACTTAATCATGATGAGCCCAATAAAATTCTTTTGAATACTTGAGTTCCATTAAAACCAAAGATAAAGAAACAACACTTAAGAAAAAATAGTTGTACTTACTTTTTAATGACCAAATAAACAATTTAGGTTAGTGACACACGAGGAAAACTCACTACGAGGCCAAACTATGATCTGGATAGTCGCACAGTTTTGTGTATGTATGTTCCTGGATTGCAGTGAAAAATCTTTAAATATATTTGAAATTTTATGTCGGTTCCAAGTTTCCGTGAAGCTGACGTAACAATACCTGAGGAGTATTTTTTGTCGGCGCATTAGTTTTTATTACGGATTCAGTATTGAGCGAGTATAAGTATTTGCTCCGGATTCCGCAAAAGTAAGCGGATTTCGCAAATATAAGTGGATTCCTCTTACAATTTGCGGATCCCGCTTGAAGTTTGCAGAATCCGCTTCCAAATTGCGGATTTTGCTTGCAATTTGCGGTTTACATTTACAGTTGTGGATTCCACGTCAGCTTAAATTTAATGAACATATAGTTTTATTTGTTTACGGATTCCAGAAATTGTCCCAGATTGCGCAAATTTTGTTGCGGACTCCACAAAGTTGCCTGTTTTAGAGCATTTTTGAGCAATACAGTGTTCTAGCTATTTGTACGTGGAATCCAAAACAGCACAAAACAATAAAGAAAAACAGAAATTTTGCGTAACAATTCTGTTATTGGTTTGTTGCGGAATTTGCTTCCAATTCATAAAATTCCCAGTTTGCAATTCGAAGATAAAAGCTCGAAAATTCACTACGTTTTATGCAGTTTAAGAAGCGATGAATTGATTGAGACTTTTCTTTCTCTCGCCCTTTTGGCACGGTACTAGCCACTCACGCTCATTACACTACTAGGTTACATAGCACGCCCGGTTGACCTCCATACATCGCAAATGTTTTTCGTTCAATTCGATAAATGAAGTTATGGAGAAAATGCTTGGATTGTGTAATAAAATGTAAATAAACATTTTCCGTAAATGTTTCTGATCAGTTAAGTTTTCAAAATCTCAAATTAATCCCGAAAATGGCAGACAGAGCAATTAGTGTTACATAATTTTATTAAAATTTGATAGCCACGAAGTTTGAATTTTTGTCGGAAACAAAAGTTTTTCATACAATTCCAATATATGGAAATTATTTGATAAGCAATTTTATCACGAAAACGAAAAATTAATCTCTGGTAGTCTCGAAACAGCCCCCAAAAGTTTTTGTTTTCTTTCCAACTTCAAAACAAATTTTTTACCAAAACAAACATTTTCAGAAAAAGTTGTGCTTCGCAATTTTTACTTTTTTTTGTGTGCTTTTAGTAGTTCTAGATACACGGTTGTTCGACTTTTTTTTCTTTTTGCTGAATAATTTTTCTCAAAAAACTTCAAAATTACTATTTTTTTCCAATGCTTAATTATGTTTGCCTTGATCGAAGCATGAATAATCGAAATTTTGAATTTAACAATTTTAACCTTTGAAATTTTTTTGCCAAACTTTCATAGGTTGTTGTTTTCGTTATATCATTTGTGTAAGACCACGCTAAGTTCGCTTGGCATTATTAATGCAAGACCGTCCAATCTTTGCTAACTCTAGCTTTCAGTAAACCAAGAGTTTTGTCACTTCTGTTTGGTTAAGATCACAACACAAAAATTTTAACGAAACAAATTAGAAAAAAAATCTTCTTTTATGGAGATTTGCTTGTCATAAAGTATCAAATATGAAATAACGCTTATCCTAGAGATTTCGTACGTTCAACTACGAAATTAAACGATAAGGGTTTTTTGTCAACATGGGATTCGGTTGCAACAGACAAGTAAACAAGAGTAAACAGCCAAGTCAAAAGTAGACAGTTTTTGGTTTTTTTCATAAAGCCTCAAGAGTTATGTTAAAAATCTCGGATTTTTTAAACAAATTTCAAAAACCAATTCAAATTGAATAATTTTGATTAAAAAACATAAAATAACTTGCAAGTTTTGACTGACTTTCTCCAAATTGTTCTCACATCTGTTTTCAGCTAACCATTACAGTGCCAAAGTGTGCACTGAATAGGCTTACAATTACTTGTGTGTTGGTTGTTGAAATTCTGAGACCAGTATTTGAAAATGTTTAAACAGTTTTTGAATAATCAAAGAAAACGAAAGAACAAAAAAAGAACAAAGAACTTGCAAGTTTTGACTGACTTTCTCCAAATTGTTCTCACATCTGTTTTCAGCTAACCATTACAGTGCCAAAGTGTGCACTGAATAGGCTTACAATTACTTGTGTGTTGGTTGTTGAAATTCTGAGACCAGTATTTGAAAATGTTTAAACAGTTTTTGAATAATCAAAGAAAACGAAAGAACAAAAAAAGAACAAAGAACGCTTCCTTGATGCGGAATCAGCTCACAATTCAAAAAATGATTTTCTTGACACTTTTTTTAACATTTCTATCCAAATGAACTAGATAAGGAGACTAAAGCTGAAAATCCAAAATGCATTTGTCTCAAACTGAATAGACACTAGATAATAAAATTAGCTAAACGATCTCTTAATTTTTCCAGAGGCATTATAATGGATCAAAAACGATTTAGTTTTCGGGCCATCATTTGAGATTTTTCGTAAAAAGTTTACGAAAATTTACAGTTTTCCTCACCTTGTGTCTAAGTTGATTAAAATGCGTTCAAATTACCAACAAAACCAGCTAAATCAGATTGTACAAGTTTGATTTGCCCTTACTAGGAATGCCATTACTTCTAACCAATCACGCTAAGAATGCCATTTTTTGAGTCTCATATATTTTGCCTATTTTCCCACATGTCTTCCAGTTTTCATGGTTTGTTTCGGATAATACAAATCACGGCGGAAAAGTCTGTAATGTGATGCCCGTACTCGATGACCTGCCAATAGTCTTTGAAACTACTGATTTTGGGCGGCAAAGAGTCCTGGGTCAAAAATGCAAACATGATAGCTGGCAAAATAACACCGAAGAGCCCGGATTGATCTAAATGCTTGTCAAACAATTTTCATATTTGGAGAAATATTTATCATACAGTTTTGTATAATTTCAGACTTACAGAAAATTGTTCGAAAAAAAAAATTAATGAAAATTAAATGACAAGTTTTTTTTTAAATCAAGAAATTTTTATTTTTCGAGTTTTGCTCATGTTTCTGTGTTTTGTTCGGAAGAACGATCACCAGGGATTTCACAAAAGAAACTTTCTTGGTTGAAAGGAAGAAATATCACAGATTTTCTGCACTTGAGTAATACTGAATTTGATATTAATTTGTAGATTTCTCAGAACTATGAAAAAACCTCAAGTTTTTGTATATGACTTGAAATGTTTCAGCAAAAAATTACTTAGTCAAAACTCTCGGCCTGCTCTTTTGAGAAATAGAAGGATACCTTATTCATCAAAAACATCAAAAGTTTCACGTTTGAATTAGCAAAAAAATCTTAGTAATTTTTTTGGTTTACAAAACTAGGCCTGGTTTAAGTTCAAGACAAAAATAATAAATTTCTGCCTGCATTTTTTTCGAAGAGATCTTACGTGAGCATAAAAATGATACTGCGACTAAAAAGGTTAAAAGTTTTCCTCTTGAAAAAGAGTTTTCAGCAATGGAAAATGGCCTTCATTTTGCTGCTAAGTGAAAAATGCTTAGCATACAAATTTCATATATGGAAACTGTAATATAAACTTTTTTCTATGCACTCCGTGTATGTAATTGTACAACAAGAATTTTTTCTAGAATGGAACTGTATGAGAAACATTTTTGTCTATGGATGTCAACCTGGTAAGCTCTGACAAACCGATAAACCAAATTTTTTTGGAATTGCAATTTTTCTCTCTTATGACATAATTGGTGAGCAACGACAGTAAACTGCAATCTAAATTGTTCTGACTGTTTAGATTGATTTTTCTTAACACAGCAAAAAAAAATTAGATTTTTTTTGGATTTGGAATCATAGTGAAAGACATTTAAAATCACACTACACTTAAGACAATTTTAACTCGATAAAACTAGGCTGAAAAACCAAAAATATGTAATGGTTTTTACCATCACTTCAGAAATTAACACAGATCATTCTGAATTATAACTGCGAAAAAGAAACATGTTTTCAAATTACATTACATCAAATTACATTTGACGTTCTGATCGTCAAATTTTCAAGTTACTTTAGGTTCACGTCACATTATTTCGGTCGAGGTTAAATCATTCAGACTGTTTCAAGTTTTCAAAAAAATTCAAATCATTTGTTTCCAAACAAATTTTTTCAGCTTAGAGAAACATTAACTATTCGACCCTCTCGGAGCTTTGTTTATATTATTGGTTCTCGCTTCACATCTTTAAATATGGTTATAAGTAGTTTTTTTAACTAGTCCCATTCCTCAACAGTCTTATAATACAATTGTTAGAGTACAATTATTAGACTATGAATAGGACCAGTTTTGGTTTAAGGAAATTGCACAAACCTATTCGGCCAAAACTGTATAGGGCGACAAACAGACGTTGTCGCCTTATACAAATGTTGTTTCTATCAATTATCTCAATTAGGCAAAAATTTGATTTCGTTTAACTTTTGGTTCAAAGCCTCGATTCTGTATGCTGTTCTGTTTAGCGACTCAGATCGATAGTCGACTTTTTTCAAACAAAAGTTTTTAGATAAGAAAAACGGAAAACTCGCACTTTGTCCAAATCTTGGTTCATTTTTGGTCTTTTTTCTGTTTGTTCAGCACTCGATGGAGGACGTGACTAAACAGAAGGACTTTTCTCTGGAGGGGATTCTGGACATGAACTGTAACATCACTTCATTCCAAGACAACTACTTCATTAACTCCTCATTTACACACGCCAAACAGCAAGTCAGGTCAGCACAAAAGAGGTTGGGGGGGGGGGGGTCTGTCATTCTAAAAAAAAGTTTTCGAAAAGTTTGGCTCGTTCAGAAACCTGCAGGGCTGGTCTGATTTGATAGTTCATTTTTTTTTTCAAATAATCATCCATAACGATTATTTTTCTTAAAAACAAAAACTCGCTTTCAATTTGTTTTTAGAGACTTCAAAACATATTTGGGCCAATTTGTTTTCTTTACTCAATTCCCAATAATCAAGTTTCACTGTACAAGACTGGGGTGATTCATTTAACTCGCGGTCATCAAATTTCATAATTTCAGCATCACATCACAATCTCCCCTTTTTTGTGAATTTTTTAATTTGCACATACACTAATCACTATCTTTGAAACATTTCTGGCTGTTAACTTTAAGTTTGGGCCGTGGTTTTGCACAGGGGCAGATCTAGGTTTTTCTCGAAACGATGGGCGGGTTTTTGAAACTTTTTAGATGTTTTTGTCGTTTTTTTTTTCAACCAGTTCAACCAATTTGACTTTCGAAGCGGCCCCAGAGCACTCTGAAAACCCTATTCTACCCAAATTTTTGTGCCGCAGGCAGATTTAAAAAACACAGGTCAAAAAGGTCAATTTTGTTTTTTTTTAGAAAATTTTGACACCTTCAATTAGTATATATTATGGTGTGTATAGCGGCCACAAATGAATGTCAAAAAATGATATCAAAACAAAGGGACCATTTGTGGGTGGAGTCCCGACCGCTAAATCCGCTTTACATGGTTTTACATGTTACGTTCTGTTTGTCACGTTTTGATCCAAATACGTAATGTTTCGACTAGGTTTTACCCAAACAAACTTTTTTTCGAGGCAGTTTAACCTAACTATTTCAGCATGTTGACATTCAAAGTGACTCCAAACAATTTTAGAACAAAAAGTTTTCCTCTCTGATATAGTATTTGTTCGCACCAAAGGCACCTTTAGAAAAATTGAGTTTCGGCCAATTGAATATAGAATTGAAAAACAAAACTAAAAGGGAAACCTTTAGGTGGCCAAGGAGAAGAATACTTGAGGAAAACAATCTTAAATCCACGATTGAAATTAAGGCTACCAAAACAATATTCCGATGAATTAAAATTGAAAGGATAGCTTTTCAGTTCATGTTTTGAACAAAAAAGTCTTTCGATGATTTACAATTGAAAGGGTGTTTCAATTCATGATGTCATCAGAGGACTTTCGCTAGTGTCCTTGAAAAATCTCAATTGTTTTTTTTATGATCTATAGAAATTGCCCTGCAAAAAAAACAAGAATGTAACTAATACTTTTGAGTTGGAGGGCTTTGACAGCTTTTAAACGACTTTTTTCCCGCTTGAAGTCCCACTGTTAATTATCGCTTTTTCTAAATTATCCCGTTGATTGCTATTTTCTGGCGCTAATTCATGTATAACTCAAAGATTTTTGCATAGCTAAAACTGCAATATTTCAGAGCTATTTCAGTAATAATTCCGTAGAGAATCATCGCTTAAACTTAAAAAATTTTATTTCATTCTTGTAGCTTTCATGTGAGAGCTTTAGTTGATAAGCCTTTTAACTTATCGTTGAGATTTTTTAAGGAATGGTGGCGCAGAGGTTGCACAAATGTCTTCAAAGCTGATTGTTGCGGAAAACAACTCTTGTTAGAGCACTATTTTTGCTCATTTTAGCAGGTCTTTTATCAATGTTTCATCGCTAAAAATAAGCCAAATTAGCCAAAAGTAAGCCAGATTATTTATTGATGTAATTTGCTATTCATAAACATCGATTCAATAAATCATCGATGGCGATCATTTTTTCCTTTTTTTATGGCTAAGTTTCAAGGTGAGCTCAACCCGGGTTGTCTATTGTAAAAAATATGACTATTACCCCAAAACATAAAAAAAGTTTTGAAAATTGACAGATAGATAACTTGTTAATAATTTTCAAGACTAATTTTGACCAGATTTGAAAACTGTCCTTCAATTAGTCAAGAGAATTTTTTAGTTGTAAAATAAATGATTGATCATCGTTTCGCAGGAACTTTTCTTCTTGTTACCAAATTTGAAGAAAGTCATACTCTTTGCCAATAGACATAAAAATATTCGTTAAAGCTGTAAAAGACCTCATTTTCAAAAATTGTCTGAAACTAACATTTTGTGCAGAAAGTTTCTTATGGAGGAGATAAAACGGCCGAGTTTTACAAATGAACTGGAAAAAACTTCTGATTGATTGATTAAATGAACAAGCGCTTTCATTTGTCATTTTCATTGCAGGATTTTGCTTACTAGTGTCTTCTACTTTTTCATTTTATTTCTTTTTTTTTTCACTAGTTTTTGACGTATGTCAAATAATTAATGTGCACTGGGCTATAACAAACATGTTCAAATCAGAGGTAGCTTAGTTTCAAATCTTCAAACAATGTTGGTACAATCAGTTAGTTTTCCAGTCAAAAGAAAACAAACTATTCATACTCGAACAAACTACAACAGCAAAAAAATGTCATAATAAAAATCTATGCAAGTTAACTGATGTCCATTGAGCGCGCTTCAAGAAATCTTTGCTCAAAACAATCATGCTTCGGTCTTCGATATGATGAACGAATTCCACTAATACATATGATTGAGGATCTGACAAGTGCAAATTCAAGACGACATCGAATCTTTCAAAGCCCTTGACTATATGAAGTTATTTCTTTCTTCTCACTGATCATCAAAGCAAGTCTTTTGTAAAAGGAGGTAGCAAGTTTGCCCATGCCACCCGTGCAAGAAAGAACAAGAGGTGTGAATGAACTATGTTCAACATCTCTGATACGCTGCTCAATGCATCTCTTTTTTCCACTTCGTGCTTACTCTACACACTTCGTAGAATACCAGAACTTGGTTTGGAGCCAGAATTGAACCTTTTTACACCAATGAATGCCTTCTCAAATCTCTCTCCCAAGATTTCATAGGCTGAAATAGCAATAAAGCCTTTGTAGCCACTTCTCAGAGCCCAAAACTAGCCAGATAATTTTTTTCGAATGAGCTTTGACTTCAACATTAGGGCACCTTCAGTCGAAATTTCTGCTTTTATGTCTCCTCTCCCACTTCCTTATGCCGTATTGCTGAATAGCTGGGAAGCCTCCAGAAGGGTAAGACAAGCAAAGCTCAAGCGAGAAACTTTTTCCAAAAACACAGTGAGAAAGGACCCTTATCAGCGGCCAACTATATCGCAAGCACTTTGCATCCTGAAACAAAAAATTGTAACAAATCAGCAGACACTTCATTTCGACGAGCAGAAACACGATTTTTTTGTTACATTTCTGTCATTCTCTCTGCAACTAATTAAAATATAGGGTTAAAGTTTTAGCAAAGCTTGATAAATTTAATTGGAAGCTTCTTAGCGGATCAAATACTGAGAAACTCTAATTTAAAGATCCAATTAGCCAACATATAGTAATTGATTTAACAGCTGCTCTTGCTCTGGAAACAAGCTCAAAAACAACCCAAGCTGTTTGAAAGTATGGACTCAATTTGTTTTGTAGGGAAGCTGACCATCTCATCTTCACATAGTCTCTAGACCACGGAAACATGGCATACAAAAGACTTCAAAGGTTTACTTGCTCCCTTGTAGAAAAATGGTCGTATCTGTTTTGGCGATACAGATGTTAAAAGTGTTGTGCGTTTATGATAGAAATTTGGAACACAATTAGAGACGATACAACTGCTTATGATATCCCTGTGCCTGAATCGAAGGTGTCAGCTAGAATTGTTCTTTTGCCGGCCTTTTTAGATTACCAGCGCTATAGGTCTCGTAAAAAAGTTAATATCTTTTGGACAAAGTAGTTTTTCGACAAAGCCGGACAAAGTAACCTTTGAAATCGTTTGTCTATCCTTTTTCCGCGTCCCAGAGATTAAGTGAAGATCCTCAGCTTCCCTAAAAACAACTTTGAGTCCGTACTTTCAAACTCTTTGAGTTGTTTGGAACAATTTTTCCAGAGCAAGAACTCTTCGGAATAGAGTTATATATTGTTTGGATATCTTAACACTTCAATTCATTATTTCTTAGTTTTTAATCTGCTAAGGTCCTCAAAATTAGTGTCATCTAGCATTCAGAAAGTTTTAACCCTGTATCTTAATTAGTTAGTGAGGAAACTACAGTTACGGGAAGAAAGTATTTTCTCTAACATGCTCGTTGAAATCATGTGTGTACTTGTTCGTTGTAGCCCAGTGTATTAAAATTGCATTAACTCTTGGCTATCGCAAGTTTTGGAGAGATGTTTTCTTGACAATATTGTCTTGACCTTAAAAATTTGCTTCTTTTACCGTTGGGTTCACGTCCGGGCTTTATTTTGGCCGCTCCAATTATCATCAGCATGTATGATGACCTTGTAAACTGCACATTGAAAAAAAAGTTTAAACTGATTTATTTTGCTGTTTGAAAGTTTTGCAAAAAAATAATCCGATGATATATTCTATTTTATGACCACGGAGCGACTATTTTTCAGACTACGAAGCGATTCATTTCCAAATTATCGAGGCTAAAGCTTCATACCATTTGCTGATTTTATCTGTGGCTAGAAAAAACTGAATAGACAATGAGTTTTCGTCATGGAGTAAACATCGGTGCGACTTTGAACGTCTGGAAGGAAATGGAAATGAGGTCATCTAATTTTGTAGAGGACTCAACAGTAATACGTTTGCGAATGGCGTTTTTGTTACAAACTGCTTAGTTTTTAGATCATGCGACACAATCTGGAATGATTAAATTTAGAATGTAAATATTGCCAACCGCCAATTCTGGTCAACATCTGTTCAGATGTCAAAAATACCGCAACAGTCGTCATATCAATACATGAACGTTACCATGATTGCAACACAGCTGCTGTTTGCAGGGCAAACTGTATAGTTTAACTTTCGCTGGCGACACAAATCACTCTTTGTTCACATTCTGATACATAGTCCAATATTTGGCATCATTTAGCTTCTTTTTTGAGCCTAAATCATTCTACACTTTTTACTTTTAAGATCAAGT